CTTCCCCCAGATGGTTTGAAAAATAAAACTATCTGCAAAAACAAAAGTTCTACAGAATCTCCGCAGGTTTGGTTTTACCCCTGCTGCCGCTCTCCCACCCTGGTGCAGACCTGTCCGCCCTCATTGCTGCTGGGTGCTCGCTTGTGGGGGTGCCTTCCACAGACCAACCCTCTGCCTGTGATTTCACCCCATTCTTCCAGGTCTACGGGCTGCTGGACACCCTAGTGACTGACCTGATGGTCTTGGCTGACGAGCTCAGACCTGTAAAGGATGTCGAGGAGACTTTGCGTCTTTGCACCTGACTCATGTGCCCCAGGGTCTTCTGGCAAACTGGTTCACAAATAAATCAATAAAGAACTTTTGGGTTCCCACCACTTCCTTTAGGCCTTCATGTCTTGAATGTCAGATCTTGATGAGGGCAGCTCATGGCCGGGGTCTCCCGTGTCCCACCTGCCTCAGATTCCTCTCCTCCTCCTTCCTGGAGCCATCCAGCAGGAGGAAGGAAAAACATACCTGGAAGGTGATGTGTGGCATGATGAGCAGAAGAGCAGGTTGCTACCAGGACAAGGAATGAATCAGGTGACAGGACAGACAGCATCACCCCTTGAAATCCCTGCCTCTGACCTTCCTTGGTCCACACTTGTGGGGTCACGCTTCCTGGAACCAGGTCTTCCCCACGTGTCATCACCCAGCATGACCAAGGATGAGGCCAGGAGAACTGGACCGCATGGGGCCCGGCTCCCTGAGATCCTCCCACTTCCGCTCGGCCAAGGGCCCTGTCCCAGTCCCTGGGGATCATGCTTACCGCACTGTCAGACCCTAGAGACCAGGTCCCCGTGTCCTCGGCAGCCTGTCTCATCCCCTTCTCATGTCAGGCCAGGTGGCCCCCTTGAGCCACTTTTTGCCTTAAAAACAGCCTCTGGACATTACGTTCGCCCCCTCGCTCAGAGAAATGGGAAGTGGACAAGAGGTGGCTCTTGGAAAGGAAAGTCGGCTGTCAGCTCGACTCAGCACCTGAACAGCTTTCTGGCCAAAATCATCATTCAGGGCCAGGCCTCCTGTGCCGAGTGGGCTCCAGGCTCCCAGAGTTTGAAGAGCAACTTGGCTGAGGCTGGCCTCAACTGCCTTAAGTGCTGGTGGAGCAGAGGTGGGGACAGGAGATGGGGAGGTGGCCGCGGTCTCCCACCTGCTTGGTTTTGCATTTGGTGCTTCTGATAAAAACCTCATGGGCCGCAGCATCCTCCAGGTGAGAGTGGGAGGAGTTTTGGAGAGAGCAGGTCACTCTGTTCCTCAGGCCGAGAGGGGCTATGCCTGGAGCCTGGATGCTCCCTTCAGGGTGGCTGAGGGGGCCAGCTGGAGCCCACAGAAAACAAATCCACCAAAGGGCCAGCCACCCCCGGGAGCGGTCTTCCTAGCCCAGCAGAGATGGGTAGGAGTGGGGTGGGTGTTGGAGCCCCCCACCCCCCACCCTATTTCCTGCTGAGGCGGGGGAAGGGTTAACTCACTGCCGGGTGGTAGTGGGCTACCAGCCCTGGCTCTGGATCTGTACCTCCTGGGGACAGCCAGCGGGCCGGCTTCCCACCTCGAAGGTGCCGCCTGCCCAGCCAGCAGGAAGGGGTTAACGAGCCCTGCGCGTCCTCCTGTGTCCTGTTACTGCTGAGGCAGACCTGCCCGGCCGGCTGAGCAACTTTCCTCCGAGGGCCGCCTGCCGGCTGGGCGTCTAAAACACCAGCGGCCAAGAGGCAGAGCTGCAGCCCGTTCTGGGGACCCTGCCGCCACCCTTTCAAGGGGTCTGCGCCTCCTGGGGGGGGGGCGCATCGCCAGGACGAGGGTCCACGGTGGATGGCTCTGGGGACGACCTCGAGGCTGTGCTGTCCCCCTGCCGCGCGGGTCGGAAGGTCACTGCAGAGGCTGCTCGTGGTCCCGGGGCGGGGGCCAAGGGAGCCTGCACCAGAGGTAAGCTGGCCCCTCCCTGGCAGGGGTGGTGCCTGTCATGGAAGGCTTGGGGCTTTGTCTTCCTCCAGGTCCCAGGGAGAGGGGTGAGGAGGACAGGGCCAGAGAGGATCCTGGAGGCTTCCTGCCTGCTGCCCCTCCCTCCTCGCCCCCTGCAGCCCCCAGGAAGCAGGACTCAAGGGCTGGCTCCCCATCCTGAGGCCAGCATCTTTGGTGGCACTCCCCACAGACTCCCATTCTCCTCTGCCCACCCCTCCTCCTCAGCCCCTGGCGGACCTCCAGCCTCAGGGCAGCCCCCACCACTGTCCAGGGTCCCAGGACACAGCCACCTCAGGGCGGACTTAAGCTTAGAGCTCTAGCTCACACCCATCCTTCCACTGGCGAGAGTTACTCACTCCCACCCCCCCACCCCCCACCCCATGGCTCCTGCTGACCTGGTGCGGGGCAGGGGCTCGGGCATGGGAGGCGCTCCCGGCTGGTGGGACACACATACACACACACACACACACACACACACACACATACACTTTGGACAAACTCTTGCACGTGACTCAACATATCTAAGCTCTTTCCTTCTCCCTGAATCCCCGCTCTGGGGATGCCCTCTACTTCCTTAGCCCTGACAGTTTCCCCAGTCCTGAGGAAGGAACCCCGCTCTCCCCTGTAAAGTTCTCCTTGGCACCCTATATAAAGGAGAGAGCAGGGACTTTTGCCTCATGGCCTGCCCCCCCCCAGCCTGCCCCTCCCCACTCTGCTCCGTACCTCCCTGCCTCCGGCCCCCCCACCCCATCCCTGCACGAGCCTCTCAGGCTCTGCCTTCTCAGTGTCCTCCCCTCCACCTGACAGGGTCTGGCTCAAGGTCACTGCAGTAATTCCATACCCGCCCGCCTGGGCCTGCCGCTGCCGCCACAGGCTGCCGGGTTTCTGTTTCACTCCCTTTTATTTCTGGGCATATTGTGTTCGGTAAAACGCTGGGCTTGGCAGGGCTCCCAGCTGCTCCCTCCCGCGTTCCTTCCTTTCCTCCTCCCTCCCTTCCGTCTTCCCTGGGCCTCACCCTGCCCCCCTCTTCCTCCCCACTTTGTCCCTTCTAACTTTAGGGGAGGGAAGTCCAGGAACCTCCCCGGGGCTTCCGATCCCTCCCTTCCCCCCAGCTCCAGCCAAGGTGCACAGAGAAGGCTCCTCCGTTCCCCCCCTTCTAGAAGGAGAGTCCAGGCAGGCCTGCAGGGTCCATGCTGAGGGCCCCTCCCAGTACCCCAGGCTGGGCTGGAGGGCTGGGGAAGCCAGGCTCTGGTAGGGCTGCTGGTGGAGTCAGGATGCCTGACTGGTTCTGCGGGTTTCCCTGGCCAGCACTGGGAGGGGTGTGCACTCAGGGCGGGCTGTGGGGCACAATTATTTCTCATCTTGACTCTTGCCACCCTCCAGCCCACCGGTTAGGGAGGTAAAGACGGGTCTGAGTCACTAGTGAGGGGGAGGCCAGGAGTTAAACAAGTGTTAGTGGCATCCCCACAGAAGCCCTCCCAGGCTGGACGGACAGACAGCAGACAGAAGGTAGGCAGCTTTCAGTCAGCATTCCATCCGCCCCGCTGTCCCACAGGATCCCCTCCTCTGGGACCAAGCTCTCCCAGGCACCTGGGTCCTGAAGAAGCCTGCCAAGGCCTGCTGGCTGCTTTGAACTGAGCCCAAGGTTGGCAGGGCTGGGTGGAGAGAAAGTCCAGATGGGGGGAGGGCAGGACAGGCAGCCTCTGACTCCTGCCGAGTCCCAGGGTAGAGCTGAGAGGTGCCAAATCCATGGGTGGTGGTACTGGTGGGGGTTCACAGGTGGTGTGGACGCTCTGCGGGTCCAGCCTCTGTGTGTGTGTGTGTGTGTGTGTGTGTACCCATACCAGAGGAACGGCTGTGGCAGGGGGATTCTGGTCTGGGTTTCTGGTAGGGCCCTGGGAGAACCTTTTTCTTGAGCCTGGGTTTGCTTTCCCCAGATGGCCTGGTCCTGAAGCTGGGGGGAGGGCAGCAGGCTGAACCTGTTTCCCCCTCAGCTGGGGTATCAGGGGTCTGCCACGCACCCAGGGCCTCAGATTTGGGGTGCTCAGACCAGCCTTGCCTTCAGGGAGCTTACACTCTGATTGAGATGGAACTGAAACAATAAAGCAATCAGATGAATTAATTACAAATTACAACCCTGGCAATAAGTATCGGATTCATCTTCTAGAGACCTAGGGGTTAGTCCCAGCTCTGCCACCTATATGCTGTGCCACTGTGGGCAGGCCACGTCCCCTCCCTGACCTCAGTGCTCTTGTGTGTACCACAGGGGTGGCGGTGGCTAGGTCTCTTTGAGAGGCAGGCCCACCTTCCTGCCTCATACTCCTCTCTGGGCATCTGGCCCAGCTCAAGTATTCCCTCTGAGCTACCCTTCCTCACCCTGCAGCTTCACCTTATCTTCAGATCTCCGGCCGTCACCTCCACTGGGAAGTCCCCCCTGATTTTCCTAGCTTGGGTGCTCCTGGGCATGCCCATGCTCGACTGAATTGTCTGTGCCCCTGCAACTGGATGTGTGTGGGCCAGGACTTATGCTCTGTGCCTGGCACAGTGTTGGGCTCAGAGAAGGCTCCAGGAACTAGGCATTGAATGAATTAAGGTGTACAAACTAAAGCCGTGAGAAATGAGGAGACTGGGGACTGAGGAGCTGGAAAAGATTGGTCCTAAGCTAGATCCTGGCAGAAATGGAAGCCATAGCCAGGCAGGAACAGGGCGGGCAGGCATTCCTGGGACTTTCGTGTCTCTCGCTCAGGGCAAGGGCTGGGGGAGGGTGTCTGCCAGGGTAGTTCCTGGCTCACACCAGCTCCATGAACCTCACTTCCTGGTCTGTGAATGGAGGTAATAATAATCTCAACTTTGTAGTGCGGCTGTGATGAGCAATGAGCACGCGAAGCTAGAAGTGCCTGCCAACGGCGGCTCCTGGCCGCGGGGACCCCTGGCCAGGCCTTCAGTTTGTGGCTGAGTGGCCGCCGAGGCGGGCCATCGCCCCTGAGTTCCGTCCCTCTCTTCCTCAGACCCATGTGGAACCCAAGGACGCAGCCACTCTGCTGAGAGCACGGCGGCCCATCTCTGGAGACCGTTACCTCGAGACGGTGGCCCTCGGCCCTCCACCTCCGGCTGGGGCAGGGGCCGCCCATCTCCAAGTCCCCAGCCATGACGACCTCCGCGCTGCGGCGCCAGGTGAAGAACATCGTGCACAACTACTCGGAGGCGGAGATCAAGGTGCGCGAGGCCACCAGCAATGACCCGTGGGGCCCGCCCAGCTCGCTCATGTCGGAGATCGCCGACCTGACCTTCAACACAGTGGCCTTCGCCGAGGTCATGGGCATGCTGTGGCGGCGGCTCAACGACAGTGGCAAGAACTGGCGGCACGTGTACAAGGCGCTGACACTGCTGGACTACCTGCTCAAGACGGGCTCTGAGCGGGTGGCCCATCAGTGCCGCGAGAACCTCTACACCATCCAGACGCTCAAGGACTTCCAGTACATCGACCGCGACGGCAAGGACCAGGGTGTCAACGTGCGCGAGAAGGTCAAGCAGGTGATGGCCTTGCTCAAGGACGAGGATCGCCTCCGGCAGGAGCGGACCCACGCCCTCAAGACCAAGGAGCGCATGGCGCTGGAGGGCACGGGCATTGGCAGTGGGCAGCTGGGCCTCGGTCGCTCTCGCGGTTCCCCGTCCTCCTACAACTGTGAGTGAGCCCCGGGGCTGGGGCTGGGGGGCAGCCCGAGTTCTGAGGGATGTCACGAGCATTCACAGAGATGAGGAATGGGGTGCGGAAGACAGCCGCCAGGCACAGCTGGTGGCCCGCAAGTCAATGCAGAGCAGGGCCGGGAGCTGTCCAGGGTGAGATAGTGTGGCCGCCGCCTGATCCGGTAGCATGTGGTCTTGTGCCCCCTTCCGGCTGAGTGGTCTTGTGCCCCCTTCCGGCTGAGTGATCTAGACAGCCGCCTCTCTGAATCTCTGCTTCCTCATCTGTGAAGTAGGGAAAATCTTATCTACTCCAGTTGCTGGATGTGAGAATTAAGTGAGACCAGGCCCAGGAATGCCCTTGGCCTTGTGCCCAGACACATGCCACAGGGCGTTCCATCAGTGGCATTCCTCATGACCCCTTGCTCGAGGGCACTGTCCTTGAAAACAGGGGTGGCTGCAGAGCCGTTCTTGACTCTCCTCCCTGCCCCGCTGTGGGCTTCCTGGGTCTGAGGGGTATTCAGGAGGGCCCTCCTTTCGTACAGCCCTTGATGACGTGGCCTTGACTGACGGCCCTTGAAACCTCCCTCCTCACTGGACCCCTCCCACAGGAAGAGTGCAGGAGCCGGAGGAGGGGACCTGGCTTTGAGTCTTACATCAGGAGCCTGGCCAGGCAACCCTGAGCTAGTGGCACCTCTGTAAAGGAGGGATTGGAGTCTCCGGCGGGGGTGGAATGGGGAACCGTACACCAAGGGCCAGGCATGCCGCCTGGCCCCCTGGAGCCCTCTACTGCCGGCCCTTTCCTTCCTCCTCAGTTTCCTTCTCTGAGCCTTAATTTTCTGATGGGGGGAAGTTGGGGGGAGTGGCGCGGGCACCTCTGTGGTTACAGAAGCCACGATGGCTGCTGCTGGTCGTTGCAGCCTCCTCCTCGTCCCCCCGCTACACCTCCGACTTGGAGCAGGCCCGGCCCCAGACATCAGGAGAAGAGGAGCTGCAGCTCCAGCTGGCCCTGGCCATGAGCCGTGAGGAGGCTGAGAAGGTGAGTCCCCTGGGGCAGCCTGGGAGGCCCCACAGCTGGGCTGGGGGTGGCATGGGGGGGGACTAGAAGGAGGAAGGAAGGGTACCCCGATGCCCCACACCCTTGACTCCTAGGATCCTCTACTCTGGGCCCCAAGACCCCAGTCCGGCTCCCAAGGACAGCACAGGGCCTGTCCTTGTCCCTGCGATTGTTCTGGCAGGGACTGCCTCCCTGCCTCCAGTCCCCTCTGGCTGGGCCTAGAAAGGGCAGTGAGTACCTAGTGGGTTGAGGGTACGTGTGTGTCTTCCGTGCCTGCTGCAGTCCCGTGGAAGGGAAACAGTGAGTGTGCTGGGAGACACAGAGATATGCTGACCCCACAACCCCTGCCATCAGCTGTCCTTTTGGGGGGACAGGGAACCACCCCCTGATATCATCCGCTCTGCCTCTGTGGATCCAGGTAGACTGGGTGGGAAGCAGCTGGGGTTGGGCTTGGGGGCACTCAGGGAACCCAGAAGAAAAGGATCAATCTTCTGGATTTTGAAACTGGTAGCAGATCCAGGCAGGGAGAAGGCCACACCCACCTTGCTGCCTGGGAGCCGGCCGCTCACACCCACTCAGGGTGGGCACTTCTCTCTCCATCCCTTTCCCCCTGCAGGGCTATGTGGCCTGGGAGTGCAGGGAGCACTGGGCCCTATTCACCCCTCTCTTCCTCCCTCACAGCCGGTCCCCCCAGCCTCCCACAGGGATGAGGATCTGCAGCTGCAGCTGGCTCTGCGTCTGAGCCGGCAGGAGCATGAGAAGGTAGTGGGCCGAGCCTCCTGTGCTGGTGCAGGCGCAGATGCTGGTGCAGGTGCTGGTGTAGGAGCAGGTGCAGATGCTGGTGCAGGTGCTGGTGTAGGAGCAGGTGCAGGTGCTGGTGCAGGTGCTGGTGCAGGTGCTGCGTAGGCACTAACCAGGCTCCTCCCGCTCTGCCCAGTGGTCCTGCTGTGCCTAACCTCTCTCTCACTGCACCCTTCTCAACTCCAGCTCCAGTCCCCTCAAGTCCAGCCTGGGCTGCTCATGCTGTCCTCACTCCTCTTGCCTTCTGCAGGAGGTGAGGTCCTGGCGGGGAGATGACTCCCCCGTGGCCAATGGCGCTGGGGCCACGGTCCGCCGTTGGCAAGACAAAAAGCCGGAGAGAGAAGAGAGAAAGGAGGAGGAGAAGCTGGAAACCAGCCAGGTAGGGAGAGGCTGCGGTGCATGGGCTGACTGAGCCTGCGACATGAACTGAGTTGATATTTGTAGAGTTTAGAACCACGCTTCATATACAGTAAGCACTGTTAAAGCATTTATTCAATGAAAATGAGAGTGGAGGGGTGTGGTAGCCCCCAGACCCAGACCGCACGGGCTGGTAACTGAGCTGAGAGCAAAGTGGGATACAAAGAATCCTGATCTGAGGCCCCAGGATTTGGGTTCTAGATTTGCTGCCACTCTGACTTGGGGCACATCACTGTTGTGGCCTCAGTTTTCCCCTTTTGTTGGACAGCTCCACCTCTGGTGTTCTAGGATTATGTGATGCTGTGGATGCAGCTGGGAGGGCGGGCTCAGGCACATGGTACTGACAATATCTTGGGTTCATACACATACTTTCCAAGAATAGGGGAGTGGGTAGCTGCTGGGAACAAAGCCACCCTCCAAAGCAGTGCATGCTACCCCTAGGGTGTCTCTGTCCCCTTTCTGCCCATGTTCACGGTGGCTAGTTTCTGACTTAGGAAGGCAGACTTGTCATAAGATCTTTTACCACCAATGGGCTGGGAATCACGACAGTTGAGGAAGGGGTCAGGCAGGTCTGGGTTTTATCCCAGCTCTGCCTCTCCCCAGCTGTGTGACTTCATGCAAAGCTTCTCCCCTCTCTGGGCCTCAGCTGGTGCATCTGTAAAATGGGCACACCCCTACCCGCACTACCTACTGCACAGGGTTGTTATGAACATCAGGCACTAAATGGATGAGTAAACATTTTATAAACTGCAAAGCACTGTACAGAGGTGAGGGATCATTAGTAGATGTTTGTGAAATGAATAAAGGAGAGAATGAGCTGGACGGAGGGAGATGGGCCAGGGACTGCCCTCCTCTGGTCTTGCCCACTTCTGAGCCATGGCTGCCTCTCCCACTCCACAGTCCTCCATCCTGGACTTGGCAGACATCTTCGCACCCACCCCGGCCCTGCCCTCCACTCACTGCTCCGCTGACCCATGGGACATCCCAGGTGGGCATGCAGGGCTGCAAGAGGTTCCCACGCTGGCCCCAGAAAGCCCCTTCGTTCCCAGCCACTTGGTGGCACCCGCTCCCCATAGCTGAGGACCACTGGGCAAGTCACTCACCCCTCTGAGCCTCAGCTTCCTCTGGGACATGGGGTTGTAGTGAGGGATGGGAGAGCACGTCTGAAGAGACCTGCTCATGGAAAACTCAGAAATGTTCTCTTGTTTCCCCCGGTCACTCTGCCTTTCCTGTCCCAGCCCATCCCTGACTGGGAAGGTGGCCTGAGCTGCCTGTGCCTGGGAGTCCAGGCTCCTGGTCTAACTCGCTCAATATGGGCTCCAGCTTGCTGGGTGGGTCCTGAGTCAGCATCCCATCTGTGAGATGGGACCCTTGGCCTCCCAACTCGGCCTGGGTAACTGGGAAGGGCCCTGGACTGGGTGTAAAGGTGGGCCTGAGGTCATGGCTGTGCTGTTCCTGTTTTAGGTCTCAGGCCGAACACAGAGCCCAGTGGCTCCTCCTGGGGGCCTTCTGCAGACCCCTGGTCTCCTATTCCCTCAGGAAGTGCCCTGTCCAGAAGCCAGCCCTGGGACTTGCCCCCTATGCTCTCCTCCTCTGAGCCCTGGGGCCGGACCCCAGTACTGCCCGCCAGACCCCCTTCCACAGACCTCTGGGCACAGAACTCCCCCCAGCACAAACTCCCCGATACTGGGGCTGACCCTTGGGGGGCCTCAGTGGAGACCTCCAATGCACCTGGTAAGCAGAGGGCTAGAGGGTGTGGGTGAGGGGCTGGAGGACTTCTGGGTCCCCCCCGGTCCAGTGCCAAGGGGCAGCACATTCTGTCTGTGTTAAGAGGGCTGCTTGCCTGAAAGGGGTCAGACCAGTGCCTGCCCTTTTTGCCAACCTACCTCCTCTCCCTCTTCCTCCTTGGCCAGCTCTAGGTGGTACCTCGCCCTTTGACCCATTTGCCAAACCTCCAGTATCCACAGAGACCAAGGAGGGGCCGGAGTGTGCCCAGGCCCTGCCCTCGGGGAAGCCCAGCAGTCCTGTGGGTAAGCAGGAGGCAGGGGATGATACAGCTCTGGGGAATGATGAGGCCCACCCAGAGATGACCTCCCTCCTCTTCTTCCCTCAGAGTGTCCATTCCCTCTCCCTACCAATGAGTTCTATCATCTCTGTTCCAGAGCTGGACCTGTTTGGAGACCCCATCCCCAGTTCCAAGCAAAATGGCACTAAGGAGCCAGATGCGTTTGACCTGGGTGTACTGGGGGAAGCGCTAACCCAGCGCAGCAAAGAGGCCCGAACATGCCGGACTCCAGAGTCTTTCCTGGGCCCTTCAGCCTCTTCTTTGGTCAACCTTGATTCATTAGTCAAGGCGCCCCAGGCTGCAAAGACCCGAAACCCCTTCCTGACGGGTAGGATACCCCTTGTCCCCGCCGGGTCTCAACACTAGGGGCCTCCTGCTCTCTCCATCACTCTTTTCAGAGCCCGGCCCCTGCCCTAAAAATCTTACTCTTCTTCCCTATTTCTGAGACCCCAGATCTTGCCTCCCCCCCCATTTAGGGCTGTGTCCCTTGGCGCGCTCCAAGCCCCCCACCCACTCTCGTTCCGCAGGTCTCAGCGCTCCATCTCCCACCAACCCGTTCGGTGCGGTCGAGCAGGGCAGGCCCACCCTGGACCAGATGCGCACCGGGTCGCCGAAGCTGGGCTTGGCGGCCAGCGGGCCGGTCGGGGCGCCCTTGGGCTCCATGACCTACAGCGCCTCCCTGCCCCTCCCGCTCAGCAGCGTGCCGGCCGGCGTGACCCTCCCCGCCTCGGTCAGCGTCTTCCCGCAGGCGGGCGCCTTCACACCGCCGCTCGCGAGCCTGCCGCAGCCGCTGCTGCCCACGTCGGGCTCTGCCGGGCCCCTGCAGCAGCCTCCGCAGGCCGGCACCAACCCCTTCCTTTGAGCGCAGCCCCGCCCCGCCCCGCCCCGCCC